CATGAACGTGCCTTGGCCATTGAAAAAGGGGGCGATGGCCTCAAATGTTTTTTGAGAGATTAGCCTTTTTGTTACTGTCACAACTTCTTACGCTTGGGTGAAAATTGAAAATTCGGTGAACACACACTTTTCATTACATATGATGCTTTCTTTTGATAAAGCCTCTTTATCCTTAAGCTCACACAGACAGCGCCTAACATGTTTTTTAAGAATAAGGTAAAGATTAGGTTAAATTTGTCATGAAAATTTAAATGTGCCCCTATATTTTACCAGAAGTTGTTTGCTTCAACTAAAGCTAATTATGGTCAGATGTCTTTGTTTCTTGGTCTTTCTTTGTTTCTGGGTTGCAGCTTCATCAGACAGCTGCTGTTAGGAGTAAGACAACCCCGATGTGATGGTACCCTCATGCAGATGGCTGTCATTTCACTAACCTTAATAAGAACATGTTTGTACACACTTTGTATTCTTAAATGGGGCTCTGTAAGGGGCCTTGGTATAATATGTGGTTGACTGTGACATTAGCAGGTTTTTTTTTTTTTTTCATCCAGTATGATAGATGTTTTTGCAGGTATGTTTGCTGTTTGATTTAGGCCACCTTGATGTCAAATAAAGGCATGACAGAATATTGAAAAGTTTGGGTAAATAAGGGTCCAACAGGCAGTCTAACTTATTGTGTGCTAGTTGTCAGTAATTATATGTTATTTCCCAGACTTATTTTTGAGAGACACAATGTAATATTCTTAAACTGAATGACGTTAAGCTGCCAAAGGGTAGCCATTTGTGGGTCCACAGAGTTCAGTGACTTATTTTGTTGGTGTATCCAAGAGAGCTGGGAACATATCTGAAACCAGATGGAAAATATTTGATTATTTACCATATATAGAGTGATCAAAAATAAGACAGTTGCTAGTTCTCTAAAATTATCCCACATACATTCATGTTTTTTAACATGAACTATACCAATGGATATTAGTTTATATGTAAGAAAACAAGAATTTGACTTAACAAAGTTATCATAAATCTTAATTTTTTATTCAGAAAGATAAAGATTTTAGCACACCCACTTTACCTTTACCTACCCCACTCCCAAACCATCAACTCTCACTTTATTTACAATATCTTGAGCGAATGTGATTTCATAAATTTTGAAGGATCTGTAATTATGTTTTGTACTCTGTGATGATTTTGCACCATGCTACTAAACTACCAGAGTGGACCTGTAGGCAGGGTGGGGTGGGGGGTGTCAGGGGGTTCAAATGAACTGTCCTTTTTGCTCTAAAAGGTCAGCTCTGAAGCAAAATTTGATCTGGATTCCATGCCATTTCTCCCTCTGTGTCAAACAAGGGGTAATAAAAGGTCCATATTTTCAGAAAAAAAGAACCTCTTCTTAGAAATTGATTGCTACAGGCCTGTAAAGCCACATCTACACTTCAGGGCCACACGTAGCTAGTTCCTCAGTAGATATGGCCATGATGTGTGCTGTGCAAGTGTCTTCAAATAGCATCAAGCAGCCAGTGGAGGCCGATCATCAGTGTGTAGCAGAATGCAGTTGTTTTACCAGTGGCGTCATCTCCAGTCCACAAATGCATTCAGCACATTGTTTTTATATCATATGACCTTGACTCATCTGCATTAGGTACATGTATACCTTAAGTGATTCCGTGTGGAACAACAAAAGCTGGGCATAAATCTGACTGGCTTGTCAACCAGTTACTTATTACAATATTATGAATTTATTATACCATGATATCTATATATTCCAACTCAAGAATTCCTTCTTAATGTTTTTTCTTCTTTGCTCAAGCTCAGGCAAAAATTGTATGCATTTGTTGCATTTTCATTTTTTACAAAAATGAAATTTTTGTCAGAAATACTTATCTAAAACCCTCTCCTCCTTCCCCCCTTCCAAAAAGTAAATGTTGTATGGCTTTGCAATTGGGACCAAAGCATCCACATATGAAAATACAAGAGAGCAAAAAAACCACTTGTGATCTTTTGAGCTACAGTTCCAGTACAAAGCGTGTCAGGTCATTATATCAATGGTGGCATCATCCTGTAGCAAGTGAAATAATTATCAAACCTGTTAGTTTCCATAGGGTGTGTAAACTGTGAAGTTTTTATCCTACAAGAAATTGGCCTCTAAAATCTGTTTGCTTGGACAGTTTGTAAGGTGCTTAACTCTCCAGTATGAACAAGAAAATTGTGTAGATATCCAATTTTTCAACAGATTAATTGTTCCCATGCAATATCACGAGCTCTTAAATTTTTCTTTTTTTTTGGTGGGGGGGAAACTAACATTTGTAAATAGATCGGTGAAATTCGATGAAGTTCACACCTGCAGTATTTGAAATATTGCACTAAAACACAAAGCTCGGGTAAATTCATGGTTTGGAGATGGGGTTGGTTAGATAAGTGATCTTCAGCACATTGAAAAAAAATTCAAAATATACAATGTATAGTTTATGTTTGATTGGACATTTCATCGTAAAATGTGAAGTTTCTTTAAGGGAATTTTAAACTTCACAGAAGAAGCAGGGTAATAGATTTCATGCCATGCATAAGGATTCCTTTCAGTATGGTTAAATTCTTCATTGGTATGCAGCACAGATGCAGTTTGAATAAAAATAATTGTCAGCCGAGAGTGACATAATTTTTTTTTTACTTTGTAATAATAGATGTTACACAAGCTCTGTTGTGAAAAGGAAATGTGTAATGTTTCAGTCAACCATTTAATGTTTTATACTCATATCATTATTACTTGACCAATATCAACATCACCTTTTATCATAGTAGTTTCTTATGATAAACATACAAGGAGATTTTAACATCCCTTGTGCCTATGATCAAGCTACACAGCACGTTTCATGCATATATTTTGTATTTTTCAATTTCCTTATACTCTTTTATTTATAACTGGACAGTGCCTGACAAGAACACTTTTGGGTTAATTCATTTGTATCTTTTCATGTGAATTTAAAAATGTAAATTGTCAGTATCTAACATTTCAGTCATATGACCCTGAAAAAAGGCAAGTTTTGCAGCTCTCCCTAATTGGACATGCAATTTTGCATACAAAAACCATCACTTTTGACAGATTGATTGGGTGGTGACTTATTTTGAATGACCTGTATATTATCTATAAATATTACCAGCAGCAGTGCTGTTTGATAAATATCAGTGTGATTTCAAATACCATATAGAACATGTTCAATATGCTGCTGGTTCTTGAATTTTTTATCTATTCAGTAATGCAGTGAGTAATCAAAGTTAGACTGAGACGAAACTGATACAGAATCTACACTTGATATGCAAACCCCTATGTGACCTTTTATTTATTTATTTATTTATTTATTTATTTATTTAAATCTTGTTTCTGGTATAAAATAAGAGGTATACACTGTCTATAAATTGAACAGTTTTCAGTTTTATACATTGAGGTCTATTACTGTTTGGGGTTTATTGTGATATTGTTCCTTCATTTTATGGATAAAAACATTTACATTACACTACATATCTCTAGACCCTTGTTCAGTTCAAGCTAACTTCATTAGACCACACCCATTGCAGTTCAAACATCTCATAATATATATTTTTTTGTAAATTTTGCACTTGTTTATTTAGTAAAGGATTGCAAAAGCTACGACAAAAACAGTAACCCAACATGATTTATATCAATACCAGCACACCCTCAATATTATATATCAAACATTTGTATCATTGTAGTATATAAAGAAAGAAAGAATTCCTTGCAAAAATTATTGATGTATTTTACAAGTTTTTACAAAATGTTTTACTCTAGATTTGTATACATGAAGACAGTGATAGACCAAAAAATGTTGATGTTCATCAAATAGGAAGAAATACAATCTCACAAAAAATCTCTTTGATTTTCCCACCGCCCTGCATCTTGTAGCAAGAACTCAACTAGTTTACATAAGGTTAAACATTGGATCTGTTGGGGCCTTTCCATGTACCCATACCTTTGTAACACCAGTTATATGTCAAGGAGACCCCTATAAGGTCAGAGAGAAAGTTTATTTTATGGATTTGTAGTACTTTCAATGATCTCCTCAAAGGTGTCACCAGTTTAGAATCTTGAAGTTACAGTGGGTGTTGGTGCATGGGCCATTTTTATATAGAAATTGGGTGTCCTTATTTCCATAACACTGCACTCACACCAAAAATAATTAATTTGTAGGTATTTTTGATAATGTAGTCGATAAAAATACAACTGCCTGTGCAGGGTGGATATTTCTCTAGGCTTTGAATTGAAAGTACACCTCTACTGCAGATCTTTGAAATTTGATAGCAATTAAATCTTGAGAGATGAGGGTCCCCTATCTTCTTATTACAGACTGCAATTGTACAGAGCAGATGGTTTCTTGCATCTTTGTAAATGTAAGAGAAAAAAGGAAAAGCAAGCAGAACTTGAAAAAAAAATTGGAATTGGCCTTTTCTCAGATTTCAACTAGACTATTTCATAATTTCAAACATGTAGTTTTTAAGATAAACCAAAATAGAGCAGTGTTTTAGATTATTCATTATTATTCATCATTATTGTTATTGTAGAGTATCAGTTTTGTTGGGTTTGTTTCATTTCCCCTCTCTCTTTCTTAATATTTCTACATAATTATATCGCTGGCTTTTCCAAAAAAAAAATTAAAAAAAAACACACACACACATTCCCAGAAAGTGAAAGGTAATATGCCTGACAGAAAAGAACATGCAGTTATTTGCTAGTCTTGTTATCTTGTCTTCTGCACTGTTTATGGTTTTTATCCTAGTCTTTTTTATTAATGTTTTAAAATATATCATACATATGATAAAGTTACAGAAATCAGCTAAATCTCCTGTCTTGAAAATTGATAGTGTGATTAAGAAAGTCTGTGCATGAAATTGTTCAGAATGTGGCTTTTACATGAAAAAATTACCCTAGCCATTCTTCTAGCTGTAAAAATTGCAAAGTCACATTTACACAATTCTGCTTCCTTCTGTTGTAGTTGCAATGTTGGAGACATAGTGCTACTGTGCCTTGATGAGCGTCATGATCAGTATGTTGTATTCACAGTGGGCACTACACTACATTTCCTGCATTCTGATTGTCTGGATGCTCTAGGTCTCAAGACAGGTAAGTGTGAGGATTATTGGGTGGGAGGGGTATATTTCACAGGCTCTTAGGCATAGGGTAGAAAAAAAACTGCAATTTTTGCCACAAAAGTCTATGAATCAAAATTTGATCTCATTTCTTTGCCATTCCTTAAGTTTGGTCAACTTGGGGGTAAAAAGGTCCCCTTTTTTGGAAAGAAAACCCCTATGAAATTGCTGGCTACAGGCCTGTTATTCATATTACACGGAAAAACTGTTTGATTTCTTAACTGTAATGTTAGTGACTTTTTTCATACTAGAAAAGTAGATTTTTTCAAATGAAGAGAACCAATGCAGTGAGTGTGATGTACAACTTACTGCATAAAAGTACTGTAAAATATATCCCCTATGTATATTCATTTTCTCTACAGATGACTCAACAAAGATGTGTTTTTTAGCTATTTTTATTTATTTATTTGTATGTTATTTTTTTCTAATTTTTTTCCTGTCCCCTTTGTGCCAGAAAATAATGAAAATTGCAGTTTGTTAAGCAGTCATATTGATACCTGCATATTCAAAATTAAATTTATGCCTACTGGATTCAAGCAAAATTCTAAACATTTTTTTTCGCCTGCAGTTTCAAGTTTGGTGGCAATGACATTAAGTCTTGTTTAACATATTCCTTTTACCTTGAGTTTTTGGTATACATGTGGGAAGATGCTGGTTATTTAGTGAAAAGGAAGGGACCTCGTGTTGGGATGCTACTTATGCAGGAACAAGTTAGGAGTTTTCCCACAATTGATTGTTTAGAATGAGGTGCATTGAAGATAACATTTATAAATTGACATTCATCCTACTTCATGACACTTGTCTTTGAGGACTTTTTCTGCCATTTCAGTCACTGGTGATAGGAAATCTTGGGTTTTAGCTCAGGTTACTGATAAAGAATACTGTCAAGCAAAGAAGGTAGGTAAAGTACCAGAGATGTTAATGTACACATGAACAAGTCTATGATTCATTGAGACATTTGGAAACCAGCATAGCTTCTTATGCATACACGCTGCTTTAAATGTGCAAACTAAACATAAGAATAATTTTGTAAGGAAATCTTTTGTTTTATAGATTTTGATTGTAAGTTACACATTTGTTTTTTGGATTTGAAAGAAAGTTGGGAATAAAATCAAAATCAGTCGGCAAAGTTTCTGTGATATTAAAGAATTAGATCCCATTCCCATACCTAGATTAATCTAGCAGGATTGATCCATCTCCGAGAGGATTCTCGCTAAATTGCATTCAGCTTAAGCGGCTCAGATGTCTGGCATGCTTACTCAAGCTGCTAAACAATAGATAATTACCCCCTAAGAGCTTCAGAAGGCATGCCACATCAGAGCCCCTTAACCTGATTGCAATTTAGTGAGAAATCCCTCGGAGATGGGTCAATCCTGCTAGATCGATATAGGAATGGGAAAGGGTCTTAATGTTTTGTACTGTATGGGTCTCAGTTTTTCTTGCTGGTGTACTTAGGTTTTTTTGAAAAGGCTCTTTCCTCAACAAAGTTCCATGCATGATTTCAGTTAGATGTTCATTCATTATGTTTTTAACCTAACTGTGGAGACAAATTACATTCTACTTATGAGATTATTTGGAAAAATGTAAGCATTTCAATGACGTTTTCTTCAGTTTCACAAACACAAAAAAAATTTTTTATTCTCACTCAAGATAAAATTCCCTCTCTCCACATCAAGTATGACTAAGGATACAGAAATGTTTTATAAACATATCGTAGGATATAAAAAAAAACTGAAGTAGAAGAAAAAATTCTTTGAAATCTTGTGAATGACTAAGGTTAAAGTTATTCAACGAAAAAAGAAAAAAGGATAATGTGTTTAAACCAAACCAGCCGATTCTTGATATGATTGAACGCAACATAATGATATTGTTACTGGTAATTGATAAATATTGCATTTCAAGATGCTGTGAAATATATAGCTTTATTCATTTTCATTATTTTTTTAGTTCAAGGCTTCTTTTTGTTAACATGACATACTAACATAAAAGAAGTTGAGGCAGTCTGGAAGTACAAAATGTTGGCTAGACATATTCAGTGTTGTGAGCAGTTATCCAGAGAAGAAACCATTACCTATAAACTACCAAAGATTTATAGTATGGTGGTCAGAGGTCAAATGATGACAGCACTATGAAAATTGTAAGCTTGTGATGTAAAGTCATTTTGAGGGTCTGTTCTCATATGATTTGGGTAACAGTTTCATAGCTCTGATTGATTGCCTCTGACAAAGTAAAATTGCTTGTTGTCTTTTTGGTATTTTTTCCTTCTTCTTTTGTAAGTGGAAAACATTCCACTTAAGTCAAAGGCTTCCTAATAGTTATATGTTGAAAGTAGCCACTGGTGACTGTCACATTACTGAAGCTGTGTCAGAGAAGTTAGGAGTTTTGTGAGATGGAAAGCATTTAAAGTATCATGTTTAGGCACACATTTTCTTGGGTGCATAGGCATGAGCTGGAAGTTAAAAATCAGCCTACCCTTGTTATCTGTGAGAGTGTAGAAATGAAAGAATGCCTTTCAGTTGTGCCTCTCCTATTACTATAATGACTATAGAACAGTAGATAGTGAAAACATATATTTAAGGAACGTTTAATGATGATGATATACAATTATTGATTTTGACTGAAGTCAGTATATTGATAAAGTTTGCCTCAGTTGATGTCACTTTTTTGAGGCCTGCAAATTGACAATTGACTGAATTCTTAAATCTGTGCTTTTTTGATTATATAATATAATACCAGAATTTCAATGTCCTCTGAAATAACGCCATTAGTTGCTGTCATCCCACATTGTTGTCTGATTGATAATTTTTATTTTTCTCTGATTGGTAAAAAAAATCAGCAGTCATGTCTCTGGTCAGTAAAATGTTTGGTGATCATGCTATCTGTCAATTTTGAGTTTAGTCAGACTTCACATTCCTGGATAAAAGACTGTATTCTATGCTAATTATATGATAATATATAATTGTAATCAGAGCAGTGGGTCCGTATTGTGAAATTATTCTAAAGTAGTTTAAACATGAACTGAAATGGAATTACAAGTGAAGTATGATAAAAGCTTTTTAAAGTTTTATGTAAAAAGTAACCAGGTATAAAAGCTTTATCAGTAGATAGGTTGACATGCCTCCTCTTGTTTCCATGGAAGCGTGTCATTCAGATAAGCTGATTGCACTCAGCCAGAGTTCCCGCAGATTTGGATTGATATACATAGACCAGTGGTGTCTATGGCAGTGAGCCCTTAGTCTAAGTGAACATCACTACTCAGCTTGTAAACACAACAGTGACTGTTGATGATTATAAGCAGTTCTGCACTTAAAAACATCAGTATAAAAATGCTATTTGATATAAGGTAGCACATCAAACATTGTCTGCTTGTCAGCTCTTTCACTTTGGGTTCTTAAACCCCATATTTTTTTAACTGACCTAATGTTGGTCCATTCACAATTTTTTTCTAGATGCAATTTTTCATGCATTTATCAGAAAGATTATTGTTGAAGTATGATCAATCATCTATTATTACTTTGAAAACTGCTTGGTGGATGTCTTGAGGAATTGTGTCTGTTACTGTTCAGATAACAATGTGTGATATTAGATGGCAAAACAACACAGTATTGTGTTACATTTACTACTTGTTCTTTGGCATTTTGCCAAATTGAAATGTTTTGATAGTTTTGTAAAATTTTACTACACAGGACTGTTCTGTGAATTGTAACGCCCATACATTGATAGCATTACTTAAAGAACTTGGTAATTATTTCCAAACGTCCACAGTTATCAGACTTGAAGATATAGTAGTGGCAAATGAGAATTTAACAATGAATAACAGATATTAAGTTTTACTAAGTTTTGGCAAACGAAAAATGAGAGGTAACTCGAGTTTCAGAAAAAAGTTTTGTGGTCATTTTTCATTAAATACTAATTTTGAATTATACGAATGCATCCATTTTAAAGATATTGTTGAAAAGTTGTCCCTCAAAGCAAATGGAGGAGTTTGTTAAAACAAAATTTAGCTGGATCCATTAGAGAGAGGTAGCCAGTTGTCTAACTAAAGATCTTCCATATAGGTTAGCAGTCTTTCAGTAATTTCACAAATTAAACTTCCCATTTTACATTCAGTGATGATCTTCCAAAAGACCACCTAACTCTGCCCTGTGTTCATCGGTGTCTGTATCAACCAACTGCTCAGAGTCACTAGCACCTGGAATCATTTAGAATTGAAATGTCACTGAATTACAATCTATTTTTATTGCTCTATTTATCCAAGTTGCTCATCATCAGCTGATTGGTGTAATATATCTGTTGAACTGGAGTAAAGTATCCCATGTGTCTCTGTTCTGTGATTAGCTGTGATAGATCTCTGGTGATCAAACAGGTGAGCCAGGTGTTGGGACACTCTCACTTGATGACCACCAATTTTGGCTTTGTTTTAACACTTAATACATTGCCTAGTTCTGTGTCCCCCTACAATTACATCAAGATTGTTGGTCAATTAAAGGCCAGAAAAGTGACCATAATGTTCCTCAGGTGCAGGCCAGTGAGCCCAGGCCGCCTGGAGCCTGAAGGGACATCCAAATGATGTGGATGAGTTGAAAACAGCCCAATTACTCTCTGGACAATTTGAAAGTAAGCACCTGAAGCTCAGATGATTAAAGGGGCTGATTACTAATGTATATATGATGCAATTGCCTTCCATTTTCTTTTAACTCTCGTGACATTGACAAAGCAGCACTAATAATGACACACATTTGAGATACAGAGTGATTTGGGCTCTATTAGCATACGCTAACTGTCAAACAGGCATTCTTTAGTTCTATTATGACCCATGAAATATCCCAGTCTGTAGTTTTCTTGTAACTGAGCTCTTCTGTGCTAGTGGGTGTTGGTGATGTAGGACATAAGAGGGTTGTCTCTGTGCTATCATATCCAGTGATATATGTGCAGCATATATAGGATAATAGACATTATGTAGTAGACATTATCTTATAGACTTATGTTCAGCAATTTGGAAAGAACTTAATTTTGTTCATTTAAGGAATATTATTTTGGTTATCTTCTACCTTTTACCAGCATGACGGAATAAAGATTATTTTTCCATAATATAACTAATGATTTGGTCATAGAGGAAGCAAATATTAAATATTTAAGAAGGTTTAGTGGACCTCTGTACAACTTAGTTTGTGTTCGTTCTTTCCAATTGGCCCTCAATTTGTAAGAGGTTGTTCTGAATTTGAGCAAAGCAGCAAAATATAATTGACTAAAAATAAAGCTGAAATTTGGAGGTAATGCGACCGTGCTATATCACATATCAAATTGTAAAAGGCAATCTTTAAAATGTACTTTTGTAGTTTCTGAAAGTTTGAGTTCATACACAATAGATGCCTAAAACTTAAATAAAAAAAAAGCATGATAACAAGTGAAAAAAAATGTAAGCATTGAATCCAAAGAAAACTTTCCTATTCCCATGGGACACAATACCACCGTGAAGCTGTAATTGCTGTACTTATGACCTTGTGTGCCCTTACTTATTGTATCATGTTTGAAGAATTTTATATAGACTGATCTAAAAAATGGCTTTGCAAAAGACAACCATTTTTCAAAATCACTCTGTATTATTGTTCAATGTGACCTTTGCCACTTGGGTAGGTAACTTGTGGTATCACCCTATAGCTTAATTGGGAATGCAGAACATAGAGTCCCCCTAAAAAATATGTTCATGTACAAGATGGTTTTATCTCTGCCTGGGCCTCTCAAAGCGCTATGTGAAATATAGAAGGTACATAGTAAAATCAAATGGTCCCACTTTTTATTAATGTGACACGGCAGCGTTGACAAATGATTTAGCCGCATTGATCTATCTGGTCACCAGAGCTGTTATTATGGTGACAGTTAAATGCTGGTGATTAAATGGTCAATTGGGCAATTTTCTGTCTGCTTTGGTCAGTTCTATAGCTGATTGTAGAGGTTGGGGCCACTAGAGAGGCTTGTTTGTATTGATAATAGGATAAACTGTAAATTGCTGTGATTGTTCCATGGGCATGAAAACAGACAAGAAGTCACATAGTGTTGTAGGTACCCAGGGGTACCACTGAAACATTTCATGCTTGTTGCCCAGTTCTGATGTAACTAGCCACCCAGTAAGTGGTGTAAAAGATATGGACTTATTGGATTTTGTTTATGAATAGATACATTGACATATCCCCTTTTCTTGATTCACTTTTCAGGTAGTTACTCTTGCACTGATGAGGCTTTTCTGACTTTTGAAGGGTCATTTGAGTCATTCTTGTGAATCATGTACCCTGAACCCCTGGCTAATTTTCCTACTTTTTCAGTGAGGACTGGTCTCAACCAGGTTCTTAAAAGCGCATTTTCTTTTACCGGTGTAAGAGCGAAGACAGTCTGGGGTGGAAAAATAGGTGACAAAAATGCAATATGACTCATAACTTAAAGCCCACCGCAGTGCATTGCTTTTTTAAAAATGGCATCGATTACAGGTTCTTTTTTCACAGAGGTTTCTTTCCCATGCTAGTTAGTTTTTAACCTCTTCGCACCAGGACCATGATTTGAACATTTATGAAGAGATTTCTTTTATTAGTAGTGGTAATTTTTACCACCTCAAATGTAAAAAGAGAAGATAATAACACCACACTCATAGCCATGTGATAGCTGTACATAACAGTTTGAATAGGATTCACTTTGCACCACTAACCTGTCATTTCAAAACCGTCTAAAAGGATATCCATTTCGTATCTTATACATCAAGTAAAATAATCTTACATTTTCAGTATGAAAAGCTCTCTTGCTGAGGTGTCTGCATTAATCAAACTGTCAGATGAGAAATCTTTGGCCCCTTCTAATTTGAATTGATTCAGAAATTTGAATATGTAAAGGAACTTTTTACATATTTCAAGTACAACGATGTATTGACATATATATTGCTGCCCTAACGTAAACTTTCAAAATTGTGTATAAGGCATCTTTGTCCCCCTCCTTCAGTAAACCTTTTTCATGAAAATGAAAGAACTAAGAGTTGAATGTATAAAATCAAATGTTATTATTAATGTTGTCATTATTATAATTATTACTGTGATTGTTATTATGATAACCCACTAAAAAGTGATTCAGATATTTATCCTTGAAAACATGTTTTGCTTTATTTCTAAACCATTGTGCGCTCGTGTCAATGTGGGATACCACTATTTTGGAGTAAGATGCACGTATCCTTTGAAGTGATCTTTTGATGAATAGAGTCTTTCTTTTTGTCAAAGCAGCAGCACAAAACTGTGCTCCTAGTCGTAAACAAATTGTTCCATGTTTGTGGCATCAGAATCTCCATATCTGCTCTAAGGACAAATGTGTCTTCAAATGTTCTGCCTTGCTAACCTTTTATAAAAGCTAGAATGTTCTGTAGTATGTCAAATCTATTTATCAAACAAGGGGAGACAGACAGTCAAGCCTCAATACTTCTGAAAATAATACAGTCACCTCTAAAGATGTATGTAAAACATAAAGATTGTATTTTTTATTTTTAAAATTCTTATTATTAGTACTTGAGTACAAAAAACAGTTTTAATACTTCCATTTCATGTGAGAAATAGCAAAGTAAAATGTCTTGTGAGTGATTTATGTTAACATTTATATTTGCACTAATAATAAGTGACTTTGCTGTAGAAAACTCTGTGCCCAAATATCCTTTCACTGAATAAGCTGGCAATCTAATAACAGCCGTGATTTGTTGTTCTTGAGATCCTAAACTTATAATTATGATTGCACAAATTTCCGTACCTTTAAGGTGTGTTTTCTGACATTTTAACACTGCCAGACAATGCAGTGCTGCATGCTTGAACAGAACGGAAAAGCCATTTTTCTTAAGAGGTGTAAGATCCAGGTGAATCCACATAAAAGGACAAAATGTGATGTCACCTTGATTTCAGTTTTGTATTCTGACGATGGTGAACATAAAATGTGTTTGTCCTGAAAACTTATTTGAAACTGTTTTATGTGAAATGTGCATTCAACGAAAAAAAAATGTTATGCCAACATAAAAGAGATCTTTATGTAAATATACCTAACCCATAAGGTGTTCTGGGTTTGTAAGGGATTGATATTCAGTTTTGCCAAAAATAGCCACTTAATCTATTTTCCTATTGAGGTCCCTGAGAACCAACTCATGCATCAATGAAATATCAATTAAACACAAACCTTACAAACTGAACACAAATAATGTCCAGGTTGTAGTTCTTGTTGGTCAATGGGTCAGAATTTTCACATTTGAAGTTGGGGTCATTTAGATCTACACTGAAAAATACATGGGGGGGGGGAGAGAGGCAAGTGTAAATCAGTGTTGGAGAGATGTCAGTATCCTGTAAAGGGTGCAAACATTTCTTTTAAAAATTGACCAAATGAAAATTTAGAAAGAAGAGCATTAGTTTGGTCTTGCGTGATTTTATAGCAAATGTTCTTGCGGATTTTATAGCAACTTTTAGTTTGAACATATAAATTTTCAATAAAAAGATAGAAATATGAATATCTAGACTTTCAGTTTTAGCTAAATCTTCCTGACAGCTTATATTCTTATTCTATTCTTATTTAATATGTTTAAGTTTTTTCTTTCTTTTTTTCATTGTGATAAAACATGTAATGTATACCTTTCAAAATATGAATTTCAATTTTTGAATTCTTAACTATTTTCATTCCAGCCCAACAACCGTTTCCGTGTCCCAGTAGGCACCAAGTTTTACCGTGTGAAGGCCAAACCCTGGGACAGAGAGGCCACTGCAGGGGCACCTAGGGAACCAAGTAGCAGCAGTAGTAGTAGCCCAAGCCATGTGGTCCATTGATGAACCCTGCTACCAGCATATACCACACACCAATGCAAGCAGCCACTGTATAGGGCACACGACTAAATGGAGAAGTCAAACATAATTCTTTGCACCAAGCATGATGATAGTGATGCGGGTAATTTGGAATTTTACCGCTATAACATTATTTGCTTTTATAAAAGTAGCAAGTAAATATGCCAGAGGGAAGTCTTTCACCTCTACAGGCCTGCTCATATTCACTCTGCAGGTGGATTGACTCTTTTCTCAACCACATTTTACAGGAGTTACCCAGGAATGTTAACAACATAGGACCCCTGTCTGTATATATAAAATTTTCAAGGGATTCCGTATACTTTTTAGTAAGAGAAATGATGACTTTTTGATGGTGTTTTTATTTAAAATTTGGACAGTAAAGATGGCATGTAACTCTTACCTTTATGTTCTAAAGGGAGTAACTGTTAAATTTGTAATACTTCTCGGTAATTGCTTTTTTTGCCTGAATAGATATTATGTATTGTGAAGGCAGGGGATGTCATTTTGATGGCCTGAACCAATGTATAAACATTGCATTATGTGCTGTACAAAAGTGTTGCCCTTGATTGGTTTTAGTGCCGTTATCTAATTTCGTTCATGGGAAGTAATCAAACAGACCAGTAACATGATTACGGCAACCTTTCCAGTTTAATGTTAAGAATTAGACAGTGACAGAGTGTCGGTATTGTATTAACACAAACTTTGAATTAATTCCCAATCTAAAACTGGTTAAGTATCACAATATTTATTGTATTCCATATATCCTACAATGAACATTTGCAAAGTGTGTTTAATGTTCCAGACACGATCAGAAAATAAATCTTAAAAAAGTAGAACTATGTTTGAAATTGTCTTTGAGATCATTTTTCAGTTCAATGAGGAACTATCTTATTGATCTTTTTATAATGCTGTTTTTTCTTAGTTTGAAACTAATTTTTATTATGGGTATGTTGCCATTATTGGTGCCTACTAGTTCAACAGTGCTGCAAAAAAAAAAAAAAAAGGAAGGAAGGAAAAAATGAATTTTAACCGTCAAAAATATATTTTTGGACAATATATAAAAAGATCTGTAACTGACAGAATTTTTGGAAGTGAAAATGAAGAAAAAATAATTCATGCTGTGTCCTGTATGAAGAGGTGTTCAAAACAAATCACCATTGACCAGTCACATGCCAGTGGGTTCACACCAGGGAATAAAAAAAGTTGACCCTCACTCCCTAATTATAATAACATAACTCAACATAATAACAATAATAACGTTACTCAACCAAAAGTGCATTGACATATTCTTTTGTCATAGAATTGTAACACAATATCAGAACTGATTTCGTACGGATTATTATTTATTTGATGTGTTATCTAACTGCTTCCCTCTTTCCTCTCTAGGACCAGATTTCAGACTAACTAACCAGAAGTCAAGTTCTTGTTATGGAAGCTTTAAAAAAACTGAGTATGTGTAGTGCATTTATAATTTCAATTATTCTGATGAAATTGGAGGCCACTTGTCAGGACTGAGCATGTGTCAGGTATCTTGCATAGATCATCTTAATCTGATGAACCAGGGTCTCGGTAAGTTGTACAAAAGCTGGTGTGTTTTGGAGTAATGTTGTCGGATTATTATGACAAAATAGAGACTACTTAGCCCAGCTAAGTGTGTGTCAGATCATAATCTTCTGAAGTCTGACAAGCACCTAGACTGCCCCTGCATGTGTAATATTGGCCATTCAGTGTTCCATATGCCACACCTTCACTGTAACCTAAAACTGTTTAAACAATATGTAGGCACTACTGTATTAACACTGCACACTTATTAGGGATGTGTGATTTGCTTTTTACCTGTCTTTATCTTCACTTTTAAGATCGCTTCGCTTTTGTTGAGCTGCATATATTTATATACTGCTGCTTTTTCAGACTTGATGGTTATGATGAGGGTGATTATATTCATCTTTTGATGTTTAAAAAAAAAACTGAAAAGCCTATTAAGTATTTTTCTGATAGATGTCTGCAAGGTTTGCACTTACAAATCACCAAAGCTTTGTTTTCTTTATCTGAACATTGTCCCAGAACATAAATATTGCATTTTTACCTGTAGTACATAAAAATGGGTGTGAGATTTAATGTTAAGAACGAAACACAATAAGACCAAATTTTTGATGACAGGGATGTTTTACATACTGGGCATAAAAGATATATCTTCAATGAAAAAGAAATGTTAACAAAATTTCTCAGTTAAAAATTTTGTGGTACCAAAATATTGTTTTGTTGTCTTAATCGGTTTCAACTTGAGATTTACTTATTATGTCTGTAGGGAAATGGAGAAATTATTATTATTATTATTATAAAAAATATTAATAACGGTTTTCCACCTGAATAGCAGTGTCAGTAACACCCTGTCCAAGGTAGGAGTGGGTCTTTTTAGTTTATCAGCCTTAAGCGTGGAAAGTCTGAAGATTTCAGTGTGCTGCTGTTTTAAGTGGGAAGTTGATCGTATTTGTTAGAAGTATGAAAGGTGTGTTTGATCAATCCTCTGTAAATAGTCTTGAACCCTCTTTGAAATCTGCAGCTTTCATGATTATACTAGACACGAGAAAAAGTGAAATTAAAATGCGGTGGATGGCTCGATCGAATATGGAATATGGATAACATCTTGACCACTTGTCCTGCATGCATGTGCATAATTGAGAAGTGAGGTGTAAAATTTAGTCTTTGTCCTAAAATCTAAAGTAAGAGAAGGAAGTTGGAGTGGAAGCGTAGGAGTAGGGACGTAATTGGTTGAAAGTTTAATAAAGGTTCAACAGGGAAGTAATGCAATGTTTAAAAGACATCTACCATATAGAAAACTGGAGAGAAAGCCCATTCTTTGGTGTCTGATTTTTNAGTGGTCATTCCTGCTAAAACGCAGGTTGAGTTAAAAAATCAGCTTAATCGGGCCATTATTTTAAAGAAATGCCGTTTTTTCACATTTCCTCAGATTCATTTCTTAGGCATGTTAACAGTTTCATTATTTAATTAATAAGATACGTAAAAGTGTTTGTTTGGCATTTCCTGCATCTTTACAACATTATTAGTTGATTATGTAAAAATGATGGTAAACTTGTTATCGTGTATTGTGTAATAAAGTTTCAAAAATGGAAATAAACTCATATCATTGCAGTTTGTCAGATTCAATCTAGTTATTTCCTGTTTTTTGTCTGTACATTTGACAGCTTTGCTGCCTTGTTTAAAATACCTTTTGAGGGTTATCTGGTTAATCTGCATTTAATAGATCGATGGCTAAGAAGCAAAAAACTATTAATTTGTTTGTTTAGTGAAATAAATATTGTGCACCTGAGACTTTTCAGGTTTTACAGTCTTTTCTTTCTAGAAAAAATGTAGCTTTGGCAAGATTTTTTCATTGTCTATTATATAAAACCTATTGTGTTATGTTTGTTTATAGCCCAAGATTAAGAAGAAAACAGAATGTTCGTAAAAGATATCTGCCAGGTAAATTTATATAAAACATTGTGGGGGTGTCAATAGGGGTTGATGCACCTTATTATGGACATGCTACCTTTTTTTATGTCCATAAAAGAAGTTTTATTGTAATAAAACATCCATTATGGTAAAAAAAAAAAGAATTACAATTTCATATTAATTCCTGTCTTCAATTGAACCAGGTGATTCAAAATTAGAGTTAATATGGTGAAGTGTTGGATTCTGTGTGGCCTTAAAACATACTTGTTGACCTGTTTGAAAATAAAGGTTTCTGACTGAAAATTGAGATTTTTTTTGCAAAATTAAATTGTGTATCTTTGTTCGCAATTAAGTGAGATGTTGATAGACTATAAATGAATATGTGAGAAAACGGTTCTCTTTTTAAGAGCTTAAGGAGTCCCCCCTCCCCCCATGTCAATATTAAAAGAGAATCCTGATTGTTAGTTATATAAAAAGTACACTGTCTAAACAAGCTGAACTTCCAGTCCCACTGGGTATCTCCAGAATACTGACTTTCACTCTTTTCTTTAAAAAAAAATTGCATTTCATGTGAGGGTTACTCATTCTGATCAGCATTTCAAATATTATCCAAATTAGTGTATTTTATCAAAATAGATTTTTTAAATTATATAAGTAACACAATTCACATTGATGAATGAGCAAATTATTGTAAATCTTCAAACTTAAAATCTTATTGGGCAGCTGTAAAGATTGCAATCAGGGTATGTAGCAGGGGCAGATTGAGGCCGTCTTCTGGGTCTTACAGAAGATGACCAGATATTCGAGTTTACATTGACAGTTATTCAAGTTTACATTGACATTGACAGTCAAAAATGGAGGATGGGTCAACAAAGATAATTTGGAAGACTGTCAGAAAATCAGAAAATATCTCTGGATCCGCCCCTATGTAGATTGTGCATTTCTGTCAGGCCTACCGAATTAGCTTTACTAGGCGTGACAGACGTTTAAGCCGGTTAGTTTGATAGAAATTTAGTGAGACTCCCCAGGGAGATAGATCGATCCAAATATCTGTGGGAATGGTCCCTAAAAAATCCTGTTCATTGATAAGTGTTAATTGAACCATGACTCCTACGTGCCTAGGCTAATATTTAGCAGGGATTGAAATGTAGACTGATCACTCCTGAAGGGAATGTACCACGAGTTACTTGCCAATAGTTTCATGTCACACTGAGTAACATGCTTATCATTATCAAGGGGGTCCTGTTTAAAAACCTTTTATAAAATACTGGTTGTTCAAATATTAACATATAATATTCATGGACCTCAATTGTGTTCAGAAAAAGTATGGTCATTTTTCTGATGACATTATATCGGCGGAGTGTTATTTCCGGTTTCTCGATTTTCTCCATCACCTTGCTCGTACCAGAAAAATCTCAAATGGGTGTGACTGATTTCCTTACAACTAGTCTGTTTACATTTTATCTCTAATACTGTTAAATGGCACCAAGTTTCACTGGAATTCTGTAAATAAAACTGCCTTAAAGTTCTTACCCAGAATCTGCTCACCTAATATGTGCTTTTTGAAGTTTTTATTAATGTTTTTTTTTTTTTACAAATAGTATGAGTAAGTCCAACAATTTTTAACCCAAAACCTTTATTGGCAAAAAATTATTTGAAGCAATTACAAACAACATGTAATCAAGTAAACAATCAATAGTTAAATGGACATTAAATGTCAATACTCAGCATTTGACATTTTTGTATCAAATCACATTTTATAAATGACAAATGCTCTGAATCATGAAGTCAAAGATATTCTAAGCTGTAGCTAAATCAGGAGTAAAATTTTAGCATGTTCTTCACATTCATCATTTTTGTGTCAGTTCTTAAAAACTGAGAACATTATTGAATTAAAGTGCAAATTGCAGCAATTTAATAAAAAAAGCATACACAATGCAAAAATATACAATATTTACATGACAAATGATAAAATGTGGTTTAATTGTGCATATCCATCCAAGTGTCATACACACTGACCCCTTAAGAAACCGCAGACAGTGTTGCATTTTGCATTATTCTATTAATCACAACTCCAGAAAAAAGATGCTCTAAAACCCTTCCACATGGATAACCATGTTTTTACTGTAATTTTGTAGAGATTTGTAGCATGTATATGTATATACTAAGTACAGTAAGGCTAGGCCTGAGACAAATAACAAAGTTTATGATTAACATTATAGCAAATGTATTCAAAAACATATATATTATCGTTAACAAATCCACTTCAAAAGTAAAGTTTTCCATAAATACAATTTAGGACTTAGGTACTACCTGTCCTTGTAAAAGCAACAGCTGTTAATAAAGCAGCAGTTATTACGTATGTACAAGATATATTGCAAGCATTGTACCGCACAAGATATATATATATACATATGATAATATCTACAATTATTGGTCGTGCCTCTGGCAGATCTCATTACTGGATCAAACAAAACTTAAATTTAATGCATTAAGTCAACAATGAATGAGATAAGATGAACTTTGGTTTATCTGGGGATGTCAGGTAGGGCAAGTGCCCTGGGCACCACTTGAAGCAGATTCCACTTTAGAGTAAAGGAACCTAAAAATAGGATTTCATAAGTTTAGACAGGGGGTGTAATTTTACTGCTTGCCAAAGGCCCTATTTTCCATAGATACATCCATGAAGATGAGTGATAATTGTAACCATTGTTCTTCATCTTGCGTAAGGCTCATTTTGACTCTTGCACAATGCCACTATTGATGGTTAACATTTCCAGTCAATTTTAAAAAATGTTCACAATAGTAAAAGACCCCAAGCCATTTGGTAATTTTGCAAAGCCATGGTTATTTTTGAAGCAACAAATCTTTTTCTGTTTTTTACTTGAAAAATAAGGCTTGCGGATATGATAAACATATTAACTAAATCTAAGTATTGTTAAAAATTAACAGCATTTGTCATAAAAATATGTACATAGTCCACAGTATCATACTGCTAAAACTACAGTTGCAAGGTAAAGCTTCATGTACATATGAAAAATCAACTTCCATCTGCTAAAATATTTCTATAAGCCTTATCACATTTTTTTTTTCAAAGACAAAGCAAATCATATTTCAAATGTATTATTTCAAGGCTTTTTTCCAAAATTTCATGCTCATCTTTATACCCCTACTTATAAGAAAAAAGTTACCAATAATAGCAGGATGCCACAAATACGGTCATATGCAAAATGTTCTGCGATTATCGAGCAAATCCAAGGAGAGATTTTTCTGGGGACACAGGGCCCTTTGGTGATTGCCAGTTTCCACCTTGGTTGTAGGTTAGGGTGATGTTAATGCTGTGGTTTGGCAGGCAGGGGTAGGCCCCTATGGCACACTGGTAAGCCTCGACATCACTCATTGGGGGTGGGCAACTTTCTGTTAAGTTTGAGCCATGGAAGCATCTCTGGTCTGGAGGCACTGCCCGGGACTGGTTGTACAATGTCTGGAGGTACAGAGTACTGTAGGGCTGGAAGGCACTTCTGGCTTCAGATGATGTGTGGGTGGGGGTGGTGGTTCTGACCTCTGAGGGAGGAGAAGTCTCGGGCTGGGTCCAGCTGCCTTTGGACAACCAGTGTTGCATGTCAGATGCTGGAATTGGGTTCAGTTCTGTCAGTGTCTTAGGACTTGAAGCTGATCTTGGGTTGTGGTGGCTCTCAGTTCTTGGTGACTGATTTATCATGTTCTCCTCAGTAGAAGCATTGGCAGCAGCATCTGATTTGGCTTTCTGTTGTTCTGCCAGGAAGTAGTCTATGGAAGGAAGGTTTGGATCAGGGTTGACATCACTGGCTGGTGGGGTTCTCTCAGCTTCGCCCTTTGGGGAGGCAGGGGTTGGAGAGGCTGTAGGTAATTTTTGTGCCATATTATGCACTAAGTTTTTATCCAAAGGCTGGTCAAGAGACAGAATGTCTCCTGGCTCATTAATCTCAAAATCATACTGATCTGGCATGAGCTTGTTCCAGTCCAAGTGTGTGCTGTCATAATGGAAATCTGGGTTGAGAGACAGAGGCCAAGTGGACCAGGCACCATGGACATCATAGCTGGAATTAGTAGGAGAGGTGGAGGACTTGGCGACGGTGGTAGTCTCAGATGTTGGACATCTGTTCAATGGAAACATACAGTCCTTGTATGCATTGGTCTCAAACCTGGCATTGGATTCTGCCAAGAATGCCGATGAGGATAAGGAGGAAGACAGGGATGAAGCCACAGTGATGCTGTTTGCCACTGCAGATTGGGAAGCCAGAATGGCTGAAGATTCTGCTTTGCCAAGAATTCCTTTTGTGTGCTGCATGGTTTTCTCCATTTTAAATGACTCCATCACCAGATTGAGTGGCTCCCTGCTGGTGTAAGTGGATGGGAATCCTGGCTTAGAGCACTGGCATTCAAATGGGGGACAGGAACACACAGCATCTTTTCCTGCAATATTTTAAAATAATTGATTAAATTATTGTTGAAATAATATATCTATTTTTCGCTTTAATGACGCATCAATGAACTTTACCTTTTAACGAGTTTACTTGGAAATAAAACGCTATATCCTTACCTTTAACCTCATAAAACAAATCTTATATTCATTAATTAAATGGCAATTTTAACCAATGAAAGTTATTATCAAAGGAATCTCATCTTTACCTAAATGCACAGGCCTGGGAACCTTTGGTGGAGTCGGCATTGAGGATCGGTTGACATTCCAGTTTGTTCCAGATGCTCTTCGTCTTGCCACGCGCAGCTGTAAAATAAGATGAAATGTTGAGAACTGTCTCCTTGTATTAAAATATACAAAAGAAATGAATGCTGGCAAAATTTCTCCCCCCAAAAAACAACATAAATTTTGAATCAGAAACCACAAAATCAATTTTTATCTTATTTATGTATATATGCGCTCCAATCAAGGTGTATGTGCTTAAAATGTATACTTACCCATGTTCTTCTCAACTGGAGGTCGGTTGACGCTTTAGTTTGGGGTTTGGCGTGGTCATGCTGTCCTTTGCCTTGGAAGTAGATGAGCCCGCTGCTGTGCCGCCAGAAATGGGTAACAGGGTAACCAGCGTGGCCGTGACACGCCTTCAGTGTAAGGACACCTCGACAAGACACATTTGGACATGGTCGTCCTGCAATATTTTAACGATTAGCAAATAACAAGGAGTAGAAAATATTTATCAAGGTATATTATATGATATGATGGCCTATCCCTTCTTCGTATCAATATTAATCGTATCTTGTATGTATTGAAACTAACATTTGAACCCACATCATTATAGCTGTGCATGTTGCCAATAAATATTAGAAAATGTCACAGTTTCCGCTAGATTTTGATGTGTTGAATATGACCCGCATTCGAATGAATTGCAGCAAACAAAACAAAACAAGAAAACACTAGAAACAGACGTGTTCATTTCATCCGACCTACCTAGTTGCTTCCTTCTGGCTTTGTCACAGATAGCCGGGCGCAGCAGCACTTTCTTTCCATTCTCAAGAGTACAATTTTCACTGCACACTAAAACCCCCAAACATGACTTTTTCAGGATGTTCACGTTGTGGTTGTTGGTGTTTCTCATGGCCCAGCCGCTTGCATGGCGGGAAGCCTCCTCCTGGGTGCCCGTATAGATACGGTGGGTGTGGCCGTCCGGCCATTCCTCGAAAATATCCACTTGCACGGGCTAAAAGAAGGGAGAATAAAATTGCATATGAATATCGTCATATCTATACACTACGTGTACATTGGATCGTTTCATATTATTTACATGCATGGCATTTGAAATTAGCCTACTACTTCATGTGAAGATGCATTTAACAGAGGCATGGGACAGTTGGCAAATATTTTTTATAACTTTGAATTGAATGGTATATGGGATTTTTATGAGAAGCAGTGGCATGAACGTATTTTCTGATGACCACAATATTTTTATGCACAAGTTTATTATTTTATCGGGTTCTGAATCCAGGTATACCCTGTTTGAATTGATATCAATCAATGGCGGGTCCAGGGGTGCCAGGTGGACCACGTGCGCTCTCCCACTTAAATTCGAAGGTAACCCGACCTCCTTCTCCCCCTCCTACCCTCTCCCCAGAAATACGAGGCCCCTTATTACTAGAGGAACAAGACAAAACTAAGCGATTTTCCATCCCCTGTATCAAAGACGCTACAACCTAATATTTTACACTAGCCTTGGCAAAAAAAAAAATTGTGCACATCCTCTTTCTTGAGCAAAACTCTAGCTGGCCGAAACAAGCTGTTTTTCTTCGATTAGTTTAAGCTGATATAACGCTTACAATTTGCACGCCTTGTATATTCACTTTGGGAGAAAGTGTCATTTTCAGCACTACGTTCCATGTTTAAAAAAAACATTTATTTTACCTTCGTAACAGAAACCATGGGCTTTGTACCAAAATAAAACGGAAAAATTCAAAACTACCAAAATTACGTCTGTGGTTTCTATACGAGTAAAGAAAATAAGAAAATTTTATAATAATTTTTTCAGTTCCGTGCGTTTGAGCACGAAAGGATAAAAACGATCGTTGCATAACGTAATTCCCACGATATGTTAAGTAGCCTCATCCTATTCTGTCGGAGGGGTTCATAAGGTGATATTTGAGCATAAGTAAAATTCAATGGCGTGTTTATTAAAGCATTAAAATGTAACCAAACACCGAGCGCGGTGGGCCTTTTGCGTGTTTTTAGTGCTGGCATGAACCTACTATCCCCGGTCATCTCGACAAATTGGTGACAAAACAATCTTACCACTGGAAGGACTCCGTCATTGATGTCCCACGAGTTACCAGTCGCCTTCTGGAGGCTGCCATACCTGGGCATGGAGAGCTTCAGGGAATGCCGTGAAGAGGGGATTGCCGACATGCCAAAACTGAAAAATAAATTTTTTTTTTATTTGATTTTTTTTGTTTGTTTGTTTTATTTCATAACCCATACTAGAAAAAGGTCACTGTATTTATTCACCGTGCATTTTCATAGACGACCAACGGCAATTATTTCGGGAAGCTTAAACTTCTGTCTATTTCTTTCAAAATGCAAATGATCTAATCACGGTTACCTGATATGATCTTAAGGGGCTGACTTTTTATTGATAAAATTGTTGTACTTAAATAGAATGGACTAGAACCTGCTATGGGTCGAGAAAGTTTGAAACCGATATGAAAAGGTACGCGGTTATCATCCGTTGCAATGGTCAAACAAAATGGTTGCTTAATTGACCGTTAAGGTGAGTAGTTGAAGATCAATTTGTAAATCGGCAATGAAAAGAATACTAAAGTTCCGCTTTGGGAATTTGTCAAAATATTCCACATATCATTTTTACCCTTTCTTTAAATAAAAGGAAATAGCGGAACATTCGAACCCGATACGACCTTTCTTCACAACACAATATCTCACGGTAGAGTAACTTTGGCCTGTGGTGGCATTAAAGTCAAACAGATCTTCTTCGTGCCATGAGAACCATAAGCGTTGTACAATTCGGCACATTCTCATGAAGATAAACTCAGTCGTCCGCAGAAATACAAAATCATCTCACAAAGGGGACACATTATCAATCAGAAGTTAAGGTTGTCTGCCTACAAGACAGCCTTGTTCGGATAATATAAAATTTAAAAGAGGAGCGTGTGCTGTTGTCCAAGTATGAGAAATTAATATAAATGAATTAATCTCTCACTTAAAACCCAATTACACTGAAGTAGTTTAACATGTTAGATTTTAAAAAACATTTTTTTTTTTGGGGGGGGGGTTGCTAGATGTCTGTCATGCGGATTTCTTTGGCGTATACAAAATGTGCTATCATCCATCCTATCGCATGTAACTTCTGCGCAAATAGTACAAAATCAAGTGACCTGATAAACGTGTATGGCACCGTTAACAATCATTGGAACAAGGTGAAAATGTTTAATAGAATTGTATTTGAGAGCAATTTGATAGCACATTCATCACAAACCGAAATCAAGTTTTTAATTTGACCAGTGTTGCATGATACGGTGAAGCTCTTGTAGAGGCGCAGTTTCTTTGTCGGTAAATGCCATTCAGAGTGCCTTAAATTGTCATCGTCTCTTGCCACATTAAGGTCTCACTAGTTTTGTGCTCACTTAAATAAATTGACCTTATTCCATTTTATGCTCGAAAATAATGATGCATCATTCCAAATTATTATTCGTGTATTTCTATCCAGAGATGAATCGTCTCTGCAAAACTTGCCGTCACGTGAAAGGTCGCTATGTTGAGATTTCTTTAAGGAAAACGCGCACAAAAGACCGAAATATCTTATAAATACACACCCAGGTTGTTAAAAGGAAATGCTTAGATGAAAACATAATTCATCAAATGAGCGCGCGTAAGAAAACGCTCTCGCAACACACACCAACTGCAACCCACGTTAACAAAATGGCATTAGTTTACCCCGCTAGCATATCAAAACTAGACCCCGCTTTTTGATGAAGGGATAAGTGCCGCGACAACACCTTCTAGTTGCCGTGCCTTAGCAGTATGCCTGGGGCTACAGGGCCAGCTAATGTGACGGCAAAGTGACGTCGTTCACATTGGTTGACATTGCATGAACTTACCTAAGTTCAGGTGAACACGATATGTGCCATATATTCAGCATGCAAATTAGAACGACTGTATGCAATCAATGGAGGACCGTAATAATTCCAGACCAGTAGTTTGTAGCTAGTTTTTTCTTCTTCTTATTTTTTACCATCTTCAAACTGGTAGACAATAAAGTGATTTATATATGTATAAAGCATAATTGTTTTTATAAATTACATGTAAAATAATTATAAACATGCAATTACAAATATTTATTTAGTTATGTCCTCAAAAGAAAGGTTAAGAAGTGATCAGATTTCGATAAATCCTCAGCAACAATTTCTTGTCTGTTATCAATTAAATGCCTATTGCTGTTTGGAAATGGATTTCAATAGTCCGTTCGATTAGTTGAAACTGAACAAACTGTCTCAAGTCTCTTAATTGTCCTCTTCACCAAGTGAAATAATAAATGGATAAGTTGAAGTATTCCCGAATCGTATAAATAGCGGAAATTTGGCATTAACATTCCTGTGATATGAAATGAAACGGGGAAGTATCAAGTGTGATCTTTTTAAATCTCTACACAAACAGAGCAAACAAATCACCGCTGACAGCACAGTTTTTTTACTAATTGAATTCACTATATTGATTTATGTAAAAGACACTCCCAGCTTTTGCTTCTTAAAATGTACCACTTACTAAAACGTGCCATTTCCCGCAAAGTTTGAAACGCTCTTCAAACATTGAATTCATCAAATACGCGACAAAAGGGAAAAAAGACCTATTATCCCAGTAACTGCACACAATACATTTGCGATACATTTCACTTCTTGTGTTCTGTGTTGACGGAATGTGTATAAGTATTGCTTTATTTGTCAAGTTTTCAACTTTCACCTCCATTAAATCTATGTACGGTTAAGCTTACGGTACGGGGATGGAAAACCTCGATTTATTAAGAAATAGGATGTTCATTTTGCATACAAAGTTACGGAATTTTCCGCAAATATATAAATTGTAGCGTGGAAAATAAAACACAGATGCGCTCAAGAGATTTTCATAATTTTGTTGAAAAGGCATGCTTTCAAATTTAGCTTTTGACCTGCTTAATCCAATCGTATTTAATCTCTACGTATAAAATGACTGAAATGAGTATTATTTTCGTCTTGCATTATGGTGCACTATTCGCTCCTTTGAGAGACTTTCTTTATTTTCAGCCCCGCAGTGTGTACATGCAGGTAGCAAGATGTGGTCTCGGTCGTACGCCTGCCACGCGTACGTTGTCTCTCTGTTGTTCTTTCCCCCTAGGGGTAAAATTTATGCGGGTGATCCACTTGAATAGCCCTTATTTTATTAGCACCCGGACGAGAGAACGATTCTGACTGTGTACTGAAAAGAAACACGAGGTTTTTTCTCCGAAAAAAAAAGCGCGCAAAAAGAACTCCGAAGACGTCTGAAATTAAGCTCTGAAAGTTCGATGTTCAGTCTATATACTGCTATTTCAAGGTCAGGCTAAGGTTGAGTAAATACCCTGTTTAAATAAAAATTCAGAAGACATTTCTTTTGAAATTTGTTCATAAGCGTGATGTTAATTGTTTGTCTATTTTAAAATCTCCCGAAAAAATGTATTAATAGCGACCACTAATTCATTATTTCACTTAGCTCAGTTGAAGGTAAGAATTGTACTAACATTGTAAACCAATTCAATTTAAATGTTTAAAGAGCTGGGTGAAAAATTGTGCTATACAAATAAGATGGGACTAAACACAGCTAAGACCTTTGCAGTCTGGAGGAAACGGCGCATATTCCTGCCATGTTTGTGAGGTAAGTTGCAATGATGTTCCGGAGATATTTTTCACGATATTTCAATGTTAGCAACATCTTACATTCAGACAATTTATAAGATATTAATCATTTAAATGAGTAGAAAGTCATGTGCATCACTTTTTTTGCTTTTCTATTCTTTTGTGTCACATAGTTGTGAAAAAATCCCTTCCTGCCTTTGCGCGCATCCTGTTTGAATGAAGTAATGTCGTGACAACATCTAAAACGGGCGTTTTTACATTGTAAAACCCATATGTAATTACAAATTTAAAAACATGCTTCAAAATTCTAGTTTGATGACTGCCGTCACTGCTGGCGAACGCTATCATGGACCAGCTTCGTTGGCGGTCCCGCACATGCCTGCAGACCCTCATGTACCCCCTTCTTTAAAACGTGAAAACTTAAAAACCCTTCTTCTTGCTGCAAATCAAACAGGGATATAAACAGAATGAATAAAATTGATAGAAAAAACTCACCTTTTCAAAGAATACGGGAAAGCTGCTGAGTATGCCAGCGTTGCAGTTTTTCGAAGACTCTTCTATACACGTTGCAGTATGCAAATGTGCGTGACAACTGTCTCCATCATGCTAAATTTATATTCTGCAAACTTTAGAACCAATCATCGATGGCGAAAGTCCATCTCATATGCTGGTTGCAGGGCAAGCCATCATTGCTGCCGTCAACAAATGCGGTGCGGGCGGAGGGCACGATTGCGATCACGGATGATCGATGGAACAGGGGCGTCAGACAGTGTATGAAAAGAGGAGGGAGGAGCGAATCACCGTAGGACATACCCCTAAACCCTGCCATTTACATGTCAAACGACAGAGTAGTCCTTAGCATCAAACAGGTTGACAGCACACCCATGTCATCACGTTAGTCTGACAGTGTTACTCCAAAGTCGGCAAACTTCAAGTCTGTTGCACGCTTATGAAATTAAAGATGGGAACCGCAGAGGTAGTCAGCCTGAAGTAGTACCTTATTTGTTGCATTAATCAATAGGCACTTCCTAGCATAACCATCCTGCATTCTGTAAAGTATACTATCTCATCTACAAAGTTCTGTCTGATTTTCGCATCAAAGGAAATACCCAATACCTAATAGTTGCAAGAACGCATTAAAAAACGAACAATTAGATTTTATGGTAAGATTCTGAACAGCGACCCTAACGTAGCGAGGTTTTATACAATTCTGATGAGGTAAAGATATCAGATTTTTAACTCAAAATTAAATATGCTTGATAGCATTAGTCTCTTTTACTAACAGAGAAGAATAGTGCCATATCAGTTCTCACTACTAAGTCTCAAATTCTTTTCTGATATCTATTTCTTCCTGTGATATTGAGGGAATCAGTCTGTACCTAGATTTCTAACATGTCGTCACCATAGACAGAAATTCAATGAAAAACATCTTTATTGAAATGGTGTCACATGGCAAAACAAGTCAGTCAGGCTTTTTACATATCACACAGAAACTTTCACAGATGCAAAACATACAACCATGACACCCATGTGAGTCCATTTTTCTGGCAGTTAAATTTTGATAATAACGCATCCGGAGCTTTATTTCAACACTTGATCATTTTGTTGTTGTTCTAGTATAAATCACCCGTATCTTTCTGATTCAAATGGATAGAAATGACGACCAGCATACTGATTATCTATTGAGTCCTACGCTCCCATGAATTTTTAATGATTTTTCATATATGTCGCACATAAGTAACGTTCAGCTGTTCACTCTGTATAAAGGTAATTAGGTCTCGGATATTTTAGAAGCATTATCATCAGAAACAGAAAAATACTGTAGTGCTGTGGGATGACGTGACATTTCTCCAGCTCCTTCCCTCCTAGAAAAATAACAAATGTAGCTGTGCACTCTTTTGTATTGGCTAATACTTTGGTCCGGGGTTAATCTTAATACTAATCCTTAGCTAAGTACAAGTCGCAATACTTACAAGCCACAAAGAATGTGGCTGTTAGTTTTGCCTCTCAGCAGTGCTACTTGCTTACGGCTCTAGTAACAACTACCCCACCCCCTTATTGTCAACAGCCTGCGTAAGTGGCCACGAAATTATCTATGACACATCGACGTACTTCGTTTCATGCAATTGCTGATATTTCTCCTGTTGACAAACTCGCTATTGCTTTGGACCAGTGGTATTCATGTCCGAGAACAACTAAATACTTCACTGGGTTATTCTGTATTAATATAGTATTAATGATCCCCTCTTCCATCCTCCATCCCTCCCTCCTTCTCTCTCTCAGAGAGAGAGAGAGAGAGAGAGAGTTGGTCTGCTGGAGAGGGCGGACTAGGCAGGTAACCACATCTTATGATTTCCGACCGGTTATGTCAGCATAGTGCTTTGGTCATTCATTAGATGGGGATAAGTTACCGGTGATGGGAAGGCCTAACTGCCGTTCCCAGTCTATTATCCGCCCAGATTTACCCGTTACCGTATAATTAGCCAACAAATACCGAGCAATCAGAGCTGTAGTTACCCGTGAAAACCATACCTATACGATAACAGAAAACATGACTTGCGTCAAGATGTAAGTGATTTATGAAAAGAGAAAGTTCGTTCAGTGATATCGCAAAGGTAAATACAGAGGTAAATAAAAAAACCTGAATTACACGTTAAAGAAACACAAAACTGTATTATAATCAGGATATAATTTTTTACTTTTTCTATTCTTTTAAATTTAGTCTTTCATACATAAAAGGGAATTCATTGAGTTGTTATAGCAAAAGACAATATGCTTAAAAAGACGAAGAAAAAGTGAAGAAGAAGCTGTTTTTCAAGGGTCAAATCCCGAGAAACAAAATAGGCCTATGTTTAAATGGGTTGGAATTTGTTTGTTATTAATTTCCGGGGACATATTTATTTGGTGAAGTGCTGTTTGATAACCATTGAATTGCTGCATGAGAGACCTGTCATAATTCAAGTGCCACCATAAACATCGTTGTTTAGCTAAAATATCTAACACAATAGTGCCTGTTTGTGTACGAGAAGACTCCCTTTGATGCATTCTATTTTAAATCGGTGTAAAGAAAATCACGTCATTAATTTTGTTTTATTCCTTAAGCTTCTATGCAACAAGTGCAATTATCAAATTTGCATCACTAAATAGTTTTTAAAACTCATATAGCCTATAATCTACAGTTTAACAACATTTGAAATGCGAATATAATACCATAACAGTTAAATCAGAGGCGGATTTAGGCCGTCTTCTGGGTCTTCCGGAAGACGGTCAGATTTTCAAGTTTACATTGATGGGTATCCAATTTTTCCTGTTGGAAGACGGTCAAAATTGGAGGATGAATCAACAAAGATAATTTGGAAGACTGTCAGTAAATAGCTCTGGATCCGCCCCTGTAAATTGTGATTGCTTGGGCACAGATTAGTCCTATCTTAATTTACATATTAGAATTAGGTCTACATTGATTGATTTGTCAGCTATCTGTAGGCATGTGAGTGATATTCCTTACATTGTAGATTGACCATTTTAAATAATTTTCATTGGTGTTCAGTCCTGTCCAGTTTTGAAGAAACTCATAGCGGGGACAGTCAAATATACAGCCTCAACTTCAAGTTATATATGATGTAAAACTAAAAAGTCATGTTATTAGAAACGCTTTCCATTCCCCACTCGAGGACAAAAAGAGTCCGTGAAGTAGTTTGCTTTTCAGACTCCCTGTCGAAAAAAAAAGCAGTTTCGTCACAGCTTGACCCACCTAGAACAATAAACGGTTTAAAATGACACCACGTAAGAATAAAGTCTTTTGCGCAAAGTGATCGGGTAAGTATTGGAACCGCGAAATAATATCGCACGCAATCGACACCTCACGATCCAGTTCATAGGTCATTTTTCTTTTCCCTTCAGGATGCAAATACACGTCTGAGTGGCACACGTCTTCAATTGGTTCAAGTATCAATGTGAGCCTTCAAGCAAACACCGATGAACCGATAAATATATATGCGTTCCAAATTTAAACGACCCTGTTATAATCATTTGTGTAATTGTCCCAGAGTTAGGACTTGGGTACTCCGTAAGAAATCAGTTATTGTTCGAAGATCGACTTTTCACCTCTTGTCTTAATTCTAGTGCCTTCAAGGCGGCAAAGACAGTTGTGAGAGTGGGAGGGTGTTTGCATGACATAATGAGATCAGGCCAGTCGGGATTATTGCCCACCATTATGATATCGAATCCTTGGACACAAACGATGTGCACTTCTGTAGGGTGACTGGACAACTGTGTGTTCTAGATTTATGTCAGTCTAATTAAAACATAGGTCTATGAAGGGGGAGGGGTAGAGGGGGCGCGACCGCTAAAGTTTCATTTTCCTACATCACCCCGGCTATCACCTCACCCCTTCAACTCGACCTTTTCCCGTAACTTACAGCGCCTGTGTTTGTATATCTTTAATTTGATACAGCAGCCGATATCCGACACGTGGAATATTTGTTTTTGTCTGTTAAACAGACAAATTGGAAACCTAAAGCATGCCACTGTTTACTGCTTTGGGATTACACAATTTTCTTAGGATTTGTAAATTTGTACTTGCATTTGTGTTTTTATTGTGGCACGTATTGCAAGTTGCATTTTCTTTGACGATAAAGGGGTCGAATTGTGAGGGGGGGGGGGGGTCACTGCATTTCTTAGATTCCACAATGGTTCCAGTCCGTTCAAAATCATTGAACTTCTGTCGGTTCTGTAATCGCGTTCTGTAATCGCATCGTGTGATGCGTGATCTCATATTTTTAAACCAACACACCCCGCTTAATTTATTTACACACAGCTTCTTTGTGTAAAGACTTATGTCCGACACCTTGCGCAAAACTGGTTTTCTTTAGACAGAACTAAACCCAGTGGCCCTTCGGTTTCTGAAAAATTGAAATTAGAATTTTGATTGGTGAAACAAGTTCTAAACCGTACCAAAGGGCACCGTTTTACCCTCAAAAACATAAAAAAAAAAAAAAAAAAAGATTTCGAGGTCTTTGAGCAGGCCCCGAACCCCACGCCAAGGGGCGATGGTCGGCTGGGCATCCGAGGCTGTCGTTCAGAACCCCCCCTCAAATAATCCTGGATCTCCCCCTGTAAAGCAATCACTGTCCTTTACTTTTATTCAAGTTTTCATCTTATGAAAATATGTGTTAATCTAATGAATCAGACTGATCAAGTGTCGATTAATTTATTCGGTCTTTGATAAGATTAAAGTTGGATTTACATTTTTATAATCTGCACGTAGTGACTACAGACTAGAATTAATTGGCTAGTTTTGATTGTGACTTGGTGTGGTTTTCATGGTGCGAAAATACATAATAAAGGTGAGGAAAGTAAAGCGACTTAACTGTTTGACGCCTATCATGGTCAACGGTAAGCAACCAGTCGCAACAATCGCAATGATTAGTCTCGCATTTTAACGAAATTTTACGAGATGTCGGCCTCTTCCGTCGCCGCCATTGCTGTATGGTGTGTAATGATTAAATCTGTATTAGATAATCTTTATTTTCTCGGCTGGTAGACAAAGTTAGGTCAAGATTCGTACTTGAATGTTTAATCACACATGTATATTCAATTCTATGTACCATAAGATGAAAGATGGGTTGTAACAATGGAGATTGAAGACGATTGTGCAGACTTAAAATGAAACCAACACATCAATACACATAATAGTATTTCTCTCGTAATTCACACAAGGCTTAGATGAATCCAAAGCTTCAATTTGTGACAACTCCCCGTTGAACAATAAACCAACGCAAGTAAACGATAATGCCCATTGGGTGGCTGGTTTTAAGCAGCATGTTACAAGTCCGTAAAGTGAATGCTTGTGCACCCCATGTTTAAAGACATGTTTATGCTTATTGCAGATGTATTCGGCGAGCGCCAAAATCGTGAAGCCACAAGGCGAAAAGCCTGATGAGTTTGAATCTTCAATCTCACAGGTAAGTAAAGTCTCACGACTCTGAATGAAATTATATATTCGCCTTACTCCTTCTACATAGTAGTAAAATGTCAGTACATACATGCAACGTTGCCATCGACTGTCGTGTTGAGAGGGGCAAAGATTTATCTTCTTATTTCAACTCTCTTATTAACAACTGCAAAACATGTGAATCCTTCCGTTTTAAGTAAGTGCATCAATTATGTGACAAATCCAGTGACATTCAACATCTATTCACATCATTACTTCCCTGTAACATTACTCCTCTGGATCATTACTCCCTAACAGTGTACATGTTACATATTTATATGGGGAATGATGGAATCTTTACTGTTGGATGCTTACTCCCCAACAGTAAAGATTCCACCATTCCCCCTGGTAAATATATGTCATATATTTACAACAAATAGAAACCAAAGAGTGCTTAAGTAGGTGATGTGATGTTTGGTCTTTTTTAGGCTCTGTTGGAGTTGGAGATGAACAGTGACCTGAAGGCACAGCTGAGGGAGTTGTACATCTCTGGGGCCAAGGTATTGTCACTGACCTTCTGTGAAGTTAGATAGCTCCATTTGATTTATTTATTTATTTATTTATTTATTTTTGCCTACATAATAACTTTGAAAATAACTATAAAATTGATTTAAAGGACAATGTTCATGTAAAAATCCATTTCTCGAATTTTGAAGATACAGCACTCAATCTATACACTAGAGGTATGTTTTAATCGATCCCCGCCATTTAAAAATTATAAAAACAATCTATTAGTAGAAAAAAAAGCGTTTTAGTAAACCTCACCTCAATATGCAAAAATGAAGCAACAGATCTGGGTCACGTGGTACTGTGACGACAATCACGATAAAGGTCTATGAGACTCTGAGCTGCATGTTGCATACAGCCGGAGAAGTTAAGGAAAGTTGTGTAGAACGGAGTTGAGGAATTTTCGTTATGCCTCGGTGTGTTGCCGTGGGATTCA